GGTTTGCAAGATGAGGAGGTTATGGCGAAGTCTTAGTACAAGTGGCATTAGTTGAGGACTTCATCCTTCTATCACGTGTTTGGCTACTAAGCTTATGTTTGACCAATTATTTATTTGAGCATCCCAAACAACAAACATGAATAATAGGCCAAATATAAGTAATTTTCTTATTTTGAAAACAGGCTTTTTAACTTTGTTGTCCAATAAATAACTATGTACTTATAATATAACCAAAAAACAAGCATCGTACATGAATGCGTTTGAAAATAAAATAAAATTGCTTATCGTTAATGTGTATTATGTTAGATGTATGTTTATGTATTATCGATATCATCTCTAAAAACATTCCGTATTCCATCGAGTTTGACATTATGACTTAAAAGTGTTGCTTGAATAATATTAACTATGTTTTGGAGAAAATTTGTAAAATGACCCCTTATGGGGGAAGATCAGACAGTGGCTTGGCATTAAAAGATTTATGTCCACACTTGCTAGTGCGTTGAAGTGGATAAAGAAGAAGGCTCGTGGGACATCATGGCTTAGCAAGGCCAAGAGGATTGCTCTTGCAAGTACCGTTTATTACATTTGGTTAGCTAGGAATAGAAAGATCTTTGAAGACCTTAGCCCACACTTGGATTGTATTGTGAGACGAATCAAGACACACATACAAAGTTATGTTCTCTTTGTATCTGTATGTCTTGATTCATCTTGAGTCCTCAGTGCTGGGTCATTGATTTTGTTGTACATTGGTTCCTTTTTGTTTGCCCTGGTATGCTTGGTGTAATTGTATGGAACGTTTATTTTTGTTTACTTGGGTATGCCTAGTGTATTTGTACATGAAGTTTTGATCAATGAAATTTTACATTTATTGATCAATAAAAAAAAAGAACTTCTAGTTTAGCTAGTAATGGCATTTCTAATGTAATCTATGGATTGCAGTCTAGGTGACAATTAAACAGAAATACTTTTAGTACACATATACTGATGTCTAATGAATCTAGGGCTAAGTT